TCTGTGGTTAAAAGCTACATTATTGGAAATAACCAGTCTAAGTGGACAGTTACAGTGAAATACAAAACAGATAAATCATAGGATTAATTTCAATATTTACACATGATCATTAGTGGTATCGTATTTTGTAATTGGATCTCATATCTCAATGCAATTCTATCAGATAAAGAAAGATTATGTTTTACAACATAATATGAATAATTAAAACTTACAACACAATGTTTTCTCTATCGAGATTTATACAAGCCAATACAGAAACCATAGTACGTAGTTAATGAATCACCTTTCGAACAAATCGAGAAATCTTTCAACTGTAGTAGGGCCGAGCTTGACCTAGTGCTTAACATGTCGGGTTGCAAATCGAAGGGTCAAGTGTTCGAGACCTTATACCATTGACCATAATCTGAATTTTCTGATGTGAGTACGTTATGGAAGGGACAGTCAATATCGTCAATAGCCATACAAAGATCTTGTGGCGGCGGGAAGTGCTGGTTGTTGCCTTCCCTCTGTAATTTAAAATTAGGAATGGTTATATCTGAACTCTAGAGGTCTCTGATATGGCCGTTTAGCCTACGAACGCATAAGGTACTGTTTAGGATAAACACACACCTTGTAATTCACTGCTACACTAATATTTAAAAATAATTTACAACTGCATTTTCTGTAGAAGGAACGGTGAATGGTTAAACTATAGATAAACTCCCTTTCTCAGCTATAAAGAGAATAGTAAAACAATATAATGTCAATAAGTATATAAGTCGACATTTTTGTCGTTGGTTTTTTGTTGTTTTTTGCAGTAAGTAACGTAATTTGTAAGCTAGAACATCCAAATCATTCTAAAGGTTTTAACGAAAAACAAAAACAGGCTAATATCTTCATCCGTTTAGAGAAATTTGCAATATTTAGTAATAATTTCTGAACACTTTTTTTTGTTTCAAACAATGTCTCAACACGAAGTCAGGTTTCTCAAATAGAATCATAAACAATCTAATCGACTCATATGTGACATTACTCAATAATAATACACTAAATAATACACTGGATTATAAATAAAGTTACAAGACCTGTATTTAATCAAATGTTAAGAAACTGTTCATTGCAGTGCTGTACTTTGGTATACTTATCGCACTGAAACCAAAATGATCAGTTCTTATTTTTATAGCCCCCCCCCCCCCCAAGTATCACAACGGTATGTCTGGAGACTTGCATCGCTAGAAACCGGGTTTCGATGCCCGTGGTGGGCAGAGCACAGATAGCCCATCGTGTAGCTTTGTGTATAAAGAAAAACAAAAAGAATCTTAATTTTATAAGACTCCATTACGAAGTTAGGAAATTGCATGCATATATGTATTATAAATATCAATATAGCCTCAAACCTCTTAATGAACTAATTTTATGACAAAGTAATTTTTTTAGTTTACTAACTAGTGTTCACACAAAATCAAATTCTTAATGTATAACTTTTATAAAATCACTTCTACATCGATTTCCCTCGAAACCTTTAGGAACAAAATAAGGCTTTTAGTTAATACAAATATTAATATTAAAC